CCAATATTATATTACAATGCATCATATTATATGTAATATATATTTGTTATATATAAAGACAACCAATATTACATTATATTACAGAGAGACAACCAATATTATATTAAAAGACAACCAATATTATATTCTATTATATCCTTGGGATTCTTTGGGAGGAACTTTTAAAGAAGAAACAGTAGCCTTCTAGTAGACCTGCTATTTTAGATTTTTCCTTTGTGCTTTTCTATAATATAAAATGCATTCATTAAAAACTACAAAAGGGAATTCCTACAATAAGGCTGGAGTTGACACATAAAATGACTTGTTTGATAAAGCCAGGTCAATAATAAAAATAAGTATAATTGACATCATTTTTTTTCTATCATAACCCATGGAACCATGTGTGCCCTGAACAGAAATAGCACTAGAAAACTGCAGAAGTGATTAGACAATTACCCTTAAGAGTCACATGGAAATGTGCGTAATTATAATATTCATTTCTTAAGCAGTAATTAGAAGACAGTGGCCATGAATTTATTTTCTTACGTGAGCACATGGTACATGCCTGACACTTAGTAGGTAAATAGTTAATAAATGTTAACTATTACTCAATTTATTAGATTTACAATTAAATATTTAGCAAAAGTTAAGCAAGCAAATTAAAATCAGGGAATCACTCAAATAGTACCATCGCACCATACCTTTAAACTCTTCAGGAAACAAATAGGAAAACTGATTTATTCCATAGAAGGCGGTGGAGTTTTCACCGGGAGATAAAGAATTCAAGTATCGATGTCTATTGAGGCTTTCCTAGAAGAAAAACAAAAACTATTTCATATCTACCATGTCAGTTTTCCAAAGTAAATTGTGTATAATTGACTTGGAGATATTTTTCCATTATAAAGTTAAAGGTTGATTTCCTTCAGACTACAATGTAAAGTTGTATAAGATATCCATAGGAAATTCATAAACATTTTCTATTAGAATTATTATCTAATTTCAGGCATTTTTTGAGGCTGAGAAAAGTGTTATTTTATTCATTTATAATTCCCCATCACCAGGCTTGTTGCAAGCATTCCACATACAGCTATTAAAGTATTGACATAGTGGGAAAAAAGAAATAGACTGCAAATAAACACTAGACACTAGAAGCAAATTGTCACCTATAGACATTCACTCATGTGGTTAAACAATGATGAATATGGAATATGTCCTCTTCACCTTTGTGTTTCCCAGAACTAAGTAATGAAGCATGAAAAACAGACTGAGTAAATAAATTAGTAAATCAATCTGATTTTATTAAAGCTTTATAGATATCTCTGTCTCATGTAGGGTACAACGGCTCTGTGACAGATGCAATTCTGGAAATATTTGAAGACAGCCTGGTTTCTCTATCTGGAGGGGAAATGTGACCATTATTTACTGATTTCTGAACTTTGAATTTTGTGATAATTTATCTTAAGCTTATCTGTTATATAAACATGCTTCAGTTTTGTAATACTAACCAATTACATAGAATAAATAAAATTTCAGGGGGCTATCAATTTGGTACCTTTTCAACCCTAGTGCTTCTAAGTATTTGTCTATGTACTTCTGTGTTTATTGTACGTCTGTCTCAAAAACCTCTAAGCAAAATGATGACTCCTTATATGTCTTATTCCTTACAGTGATACCCTCACATAGCACATGCCTGGCACTCAATAAATCCTTGATAAGTATTTGTTGGTGAATAAGTAGATAAGTGACATTTTCCATATCACGCCCTTAACAACTTTAAGCTGTTTATTTTTAAGTAAATTATTTCTGGAACTTGTCATAATCTTATTTTTTTTTCCTTCTGTGCATACCTAGGAAGATTGCTAATCAACAAATTAATAAAGTTTTTGAGGTACTTAAAAATAATCTTGACAAAGCAAGGCTTTCAATATAACCTGGATATATAAACGTAAAAATAGAACTAGAATACAAAGTAATTCTGTATATGGCAAATGACAAATGTAAGCCAGAAATTATTAACTGCTAAGGAATGCAGAGGATTCATTCAATCAGTAAGTACTGCCTGGCCATCTTTGTGAGCTGGAGTAGTCAGGAAGGCACTGAGAATGCAGGATGTTAAGAATGCACAGGAGAGAATGTGGCAGCAATGAGAATGCCTCTCAGCCTTCTTTCTATAGGGAGTTCAGTTGCTGCTAGTTGAATCTCCATGATCACATCAAGGGAAGCCACAGTTCTTACGGGCTGCACCTAGCTCATGACTGAATGCTAAGGCTTGCTATTTGGGGGACTAATGGGACTCCCCTGAAAGCTGGTTTTTGATTAATGACTCCCTGATGACCTTGCCAAACCAAACTTTCCTTGGACTGTGAGACAGCATGGAACTCTTCCCCAACCTTCCTTCCCTTTTTCCTTCACTCAGGGTTAGAATTACATTGCAATCAGATAGCTCTACCTGGACCTCTCCCTATTCGTTCACAGGAATTGCTCCTGTGATTGATTTAAAAAAAAAAGAAAAAAGAAAAAAAGGCTGGGTGCGGTGGCTCACGCCTGTAATCCCAGCACTCTGGGAGGCCGAGGTGGGTGGATTACCTGAGGTCAGGAGTTCGAGACCAGCCTCACCAACATGGTGAAAGCCTGTCTCTACTAAAAATACAAAAATTAGCTGGACGTGGTGGTTCATGCCTGTAATCCCAGCTACTCAGGGGGCTGAGGCAGGAAAATCATTTGAAGCCAGGAGGCGGAGGTTGCAGTGAGCTGAGATCACACCACCGCACTCCAACCTGGATGACAGAGCAAGTCTCCAACTCAAAAAAAAAAGAATGAGAAGACATGAATAACCAATTTACCAATATTAGAAATGAAAGAAGAGCCATGATTACAGATGCTTCAGGCATTAGAAGAATAATATTTTGACAACTTTATGACAATAACTTGGCAAACTGTACAATATGGACAAACTTTTTGAAAGGCACAGATTGTCAAAGATGAAAGGAGAAACAGAAAATTTGAGCAGCCTTTTATCAGCTAAAGGCATTAAATTTGTAAGTGAAAACACTCACAAAGAAAACTTCAGGCCCAGATGGTTTTTTGGTGAACTTTATACAATGAAGAAAGAAGTAATACCAATATTATCCTTTGAGAAAGTCAAGAAGAAGGGAACAAGCTGCAACTTAAATAAGAACAGTGTTACCCTGATTCTAACAGAAAAATACACCTAAATAAAATAGAACTACATACCAGTATCCCTCATAAATATGCCGTAGATGCAAAATCCTTCATAGCAAACCAAATCTAGCAATATATGTAAAGGACAATACATTGTGACCAAGTGAAGTTTATTCAGAAATGCTAGGTTGGTTTAAAATTTCAAAATCAATCATCAGTATGGTACATCATATTAGCAGAACCAAAAAGGAATATACCACACACACACGCATGCATGCACATGAGGTACAGGCTGGTACACCCTTTGGAGATCCTTAAAATTACACAAATTGTTTAATTAAGAAAATCTAATTCTAGGAATGCATTTTAGACTCTTGAGTGTAGGCAATGCTATACGTGTTCATTCTACACGTGTCTGCGAGGTGAGGCAGTAGTTGAGCCATATACTCTATTTAGTTGGAGAGCTAATGCAAGTTTATCTTACTAGATCATTTGTGACATCTACGAGTAAAACAATATATTGCCACTCAAGTTGGCAAATGCCAGATGAAACAAACTTACATATCGTTGTCAGGGAATTCCCCTGTACTTCTCTTAATTTTTATGTTGCCTTATGAGTGTCATTTCACCATCCAAAGTTTAGGTGTTCTGGTTGAGAAGTAGTTATAATAACACTAATTTAATAATGAAATAAACTAATATATTATTTATTTATTTTATATATTTATGTCCCTATTTTTCAATGATGATTCCAGTAACAGTTACTTGGTTTTGGTCTTGTGCCATGTGTTTGAAAAGCCAAATATCTCCACATATATTTTCTATTTGTTATCACTTGATATACTGTTCTTTGATTTATGTCAGCAGCACCAGTATCTGCAGGACTTCTGAAAATGTTGCTGTCTTCCACTTGTTCCACCAGGAGACAACTTCTAAAATAATTCCATTTGCCATTCCGGTGTAATGACTCCTGTCTTTTGACAGCTCTCCATAGCCCATGTCAGGGCTACTCAATCTTTATACGAATTGTGGACTTCTTGCCAAGAGCAAAATACTCTAAACCACTAAATGCTCTGCTTCCTCTTCTCCCTACCACTAATCCCTACTCACTTGTTTTGATTTTGCAAAACCATTAATAACGTTAAAAGTACTTTCCTGGCGGCTTCTGAACACAGCATAATAATAATAATAATTATTATTATTAATAACAATAATAATAATTATTATTGTTGTTATTATTTTGAGATGGAGTCTGGCTCTGTAGCGCAGGCTGGAGTGCAGTGGCACGATCTCTGCTCACTGCAAGCTCCGCCTCCCGGGTTAACACCATTCTCCTGCCTCAGCCTCCTGAGTAGCTGGGACTACAGGCGCCTGCCACCACGCCTGGCTAATTTTTTTGTATTTTTTTTTTTTAGTAGAGATGGGGTTTCACCGTGTTACGCAGGATGGTCTCAATCTCCTGACCTCGTGATCTGCCTGCCTCAGCCTCCCAAAGTGCTGGGATTACAGGCATAAGTCACCACGCCCGGCCTCTTTTTAATTTTGCAACAATTTGAAATGTCTTACCATTGCTGTGCAACTTTTGGCTATATACTCAACCTCTCTGAGCTTTATTTCAGTCAACAAATGGAGTAATACTGATCTGGCAGAATGTAAGGATTAAATAAAATAATAATTGGAAAACACATATTACAGACTGGCAAAATAAATGCTCAGTTAAAATACTCTCATCCTCTATCTTCCTTTTCCTTTAAACAGAGTATTTGGATTATAGAAATGGCGCTCAAAGACCATACTTTCAGATTCACTTGGAGCAAGTATTTCTCATGGCATTAGAAATGAGGATCAATATTATCTATTGAAAGCAATCTGTTGCTTTCATGGTAAAATAATACTATCAGTATATCCAAGAATATTTATTCTCATTTATTTATTCTTTTATTTGCTATACACTTATCAAGTTGACTAACCTGGGTTTCGCATCATTTAAAATTTAAAAAGCCCTATATTTCATTTCTTGAATTATCAATTCTCTTAAGTGACTTTTCCGGTCTCTCTTGATTCTGGCTATTAAAGATTTCATAGAAGCATCACATACTGAGAGTTTGTATGAGGCCCTTGCTGCTTATTACATCAAACATCCTCCGGTAGGTAAAGGATCAGTGAGCAGATGTTCTCAACAGAGGATATGATAGTGAGCACATTTAGAGTAGCCGTCTCTAAAGTCATATAGAATATTAAAGACCTGAACCTTCACTTCATTTATGAGAGGAAAAACGTAAAGTTTTGATGAATACATAGGAAACATCTCATTGATGCTTTTGAAAAGTGCAGATGTTTAAAAATTAGATCTTACATGAGAAAAATTAGAGCTGGTAAGTCAGAACAGTCTTTGAACAGATTTGGTGAAAAATAACTACCTTCACCTTTTTGTTGTTATTGTTGTTGTTAAATGTGTTTAATTGAATGAGTTATAAAGGGAGATACCAGATTCCCGAACAGAAGGTAACTCAGAACCTAAGAGCTTGAGGAAATTATCCTGATTATAAAACCAGGAAAAACGTGTCCCTTGGGCATTGGTAGATCTTGTGCTACTAAATCTCTATTTATTACAGGTAGAACCTCTCAACTTTATACCTAGGACCCTG